GAAGGATAATTGGTCTCTCTTTTGAAAGCCAACCCAGAGCCCTATGAACCATGGTTATGGGGTAGATCACACCAAGAACACCAAGAATCTCTAGTCAAATTCTAATAAAATTCTATATATTGGAAAATAAAATTTAATGAAAAGTGGTTCATGGAGAATACATGAGATAAATAAAAAGTTCTCCAAATACATAAGAAATCTATAGATTTCAGAGTTCCTATTCATAGATGATTATAAAAGACAAGTAACAATTTGCACATCATAGTGGTGATATCTGTAGTCCCAGCTACTAGTGAAGCTGAGGCAAGAGGATCTCTTAAGCCCAGGAATTTGAGGCTAGCCTGGGCAACACAGTGAGATCCCATTTCAAAAAAACAAAACAAAATGAAATAAAGTAAGACTAAACAAAAGCTACCAAACGACAAATACTACATTCTCTCTGCCTTAGAATTGTCTCTCTAGTATTTTTCAAAATGCAGGAAACGCACATTAATAGGCATGATGAAACCAAGCACCTGTAGGCAAGTATCTTTGGATTAAACAAAGTTGAACAGCCTTCTTCACTGTAGGCTTCTCAGTGCTTACTACTCTTGGGTAAATGCTGTGGTGCTTCAGAAGGAATTACTGCATATTATGTTTGTAATTAGGAATCCCTTTTAATTTAGAGCACTCTGAAATCTTTGGCTACGCTTTGAGGAATGCAGGTCTAACAGCCAAAAAAGTTTAATTCAATGTTTGCACTGAGCACAAGCTAACAACCTTGCAAGGAGTAGAATACCTTTGATTTACTCTGTGGATGTATCATATAAAATATTATATCTTATCAGTTATATAATTAAGATCTAAATTTTGAATTTAAGTACTAAGATGTGGTCCTATTCCAAGGATCAATGGTGCTTTATAGTTTAAAACTGTCAAGCATTAAAAAAGTGTTAGTGAAATACACTCTATTTCATTTAAGGCATTTTCATATGACAGCACTTTCAACTTTAACAGAGTCCCCCAAATTAGCTAAGCAATTAAGTTAATACACAAAGCTTTTGGTGTAGTGGTAAATCAAGCTAAAACTACTAAGCTACTATAATAATTATATATAAAACTTATAAACCAAAATTACAACCACTGGAAATTGTGTTTTTATATATATATATATATATATATATATACATACACACACACACACACACACACACACACACATACAGGTAGGAGTTAAGTAAACACTCTCTCATCTAGTATACTATATTGCAAATCCTAGAGCTGTTTATTTTTTACACGGTATAGTTTATATATTATACCTACTTATTATAACCTGTAAAAGTAAATGACCTTCTACTGTAAGACAAGTGAAAAACTAAAAATGAAATGTCCTTTGTTACTACAATGAAAATAAACTTGATAGAGATAAGCAAAATCAAAGACTACATTTTTTAAGTCCTTATATCCCTCTGAACACTTTTAATTCAACACCTATAGATACATTTATTTATAGTTGTACTTTTTTCCTGAAAGGTAAACAATATTTTAAAATATAACTGGACTTTCATTCAGACCTCCACTTTATACCAAGTTCACAACCCATATTAAGAGAACAAAATTATAGATTCTCTATAAAAGTAGTCCTATTCAGAGAGCAGGAATATGAAGTAATCTTCTTTTGCACTGTGGTCTATCAGTTAAACAAGTATACCTATGTTTTTAAATGGTTGTCTGAACCTTCTATAAACCCGTTATGTAAATTATGCAATTTAATAAAGAATCTAGACAGAAAAATAAAAAATAAAATTGGCCACTACTTATTCAATTAGAAATCTATGGAATACTTAAAAAATGACAGTAAGAAAATACCATTCTTCTCTTAACTGGATGATACTGTATAAATTACGTAGTCTCTAGGCTTTCATTTTCTCATTTTTAGAAAAGAGAAAAATAACACCTACCTCACAGACTGCTATGAGGATAGTGAGATAGTGAACATGAAAGGACTCTGCAAATTTCAAAGCTCTTTATAAATATGAAAAATAATAATAGAAACAACAACTATTAGTCTGTACTCTCCAAAAAGGAAATGGCTTGAAAAGAATCAAGGTACATTGCTCTGGAGTTTTCTGATTTCTAACAAGGGATTCAAATGTTGCAAAAGGCAATGCCAAGTACAGTAAGTTAGTTTCTTTGTTGTTTCTCTGTTAGGTATAGGCAACTTTGTTATGTACCATTTTAAATCTATTTCATACAAGAATATTTCATTCTTCATTTTAAGAAGTTAAGTATCTCAGAAAAATTAGTAAAATAAAACTTGGTTACTTTAATTATGAGGAAAAGTAAATAGAACTTGACATTCCACTAAAGTACAATTGAATTCTATGAATTAATGTAAAAAATGTCAGTAACTAGAATATTATTGTGCATGTATTATTTTAAAGGGATAATATCAATATATAAATAGTCTCTAAACTGGAACATCTTCCAGTTCTTTTTTTGTTTGTTTGTTTTGTTTTTCATCTTCCAGTTCTTATTAAATATAGATAGGCAAATGTGTATACGTAGATACATATGTATATACATATTCAAATATTATTTTTAAATAAACTGTCTAAAACTTTTTTGGAAGTACAAACAAAATAATTTAGATAAATTGTCCTACAAGACAAAATGCTTTGATTTTATTTTTAAAAGCACTAGAACATTTGTGTGTGTGTGTGTGTGTGTGTGTGTTCTAAGAGAGTAAACACATTTAGTAGTGATAAGAATAACAGTTTATCAAATATTATCAAATATTCCTCTTCAATTAAGGAATTCTGACACAGTGAATCAAATCTCACTTTTTACCAGCTAGAAAAAACATAACTTGACAGTGTCCTTTTTTATTATTAAAAATTTTATTATTAAAAATTATGCCTAAAAGCATCATGCATATGTAAATGCAATCTATTACCTGCAAAATCATCTGGAAAAGTAGACAAAAATAAATAAAAGACAAGTAGGTAATAAAACAGCTTTATAAAAATGTAGTTGTATACATGTAAAATAGCTTAAAAAAGAAAATTAAGAGACTAATACTCATTTTAGTCAAATAGCTGAGACACCCTAAAAGATACAGCATTTGCTATATCTTTAGGATCATGAAACAGATTTATCACTAAATTAAGGTAACCCTCAAGGAAAAGAACTCTAAAATAGATTTATTATGTCAGCTAAGAATTACCTTTCAATGAAACAGTAAATAAAGTATCAATAACTAAAGGATACATTTCTCAATATTTAGTTTCTAAAAATCGATTCAGAATGAGTAAATTTTCAGAAGAAAAATCCTACAAAAATTTATTCTACTACTGTTTATATAAAGAATTGTTTTTCCTGTTTTAGCCAAAGGATTTTTAGATGCTTTAAAAAAAAAAAAAAAAGCCCAAATACAAAAAGGAAAACAGAAAAAGCAGGTACTAAACATGATTATATTCTAAGATTGTGACAAGGGAAACTACCTAACTACAAAATATTGTTACTATGCACTTTTTTTTTTTTTAAAGAGAGAAGTTATTCCCTGCACACTAAGAAGAAAAGCTACATTTCTAATATGAAATAACTAAGAAAAAATAAAAAGGAAAGCCTTCCTTTAGCATGTTTGAACACTTGTATTGCATTTCATTTTCTCTTCTTGGAATTGAGAGTATTCAACACAACTTCATTTTACATGTTCCTATTACTAGTATTCTATGAATTTTATATCTACATATATTTCTGCTCTACTTTTATTTCAATAAAATATGAACAAGATCAACATATATCTACATTTCTTTATGCTATGTCTACTCAGAATTTTAACATCAATATTGATACTGAATATAAATATCATTTTATAATTCTAACCAAAGGGATAATATCAATACATAAGTGGTCTCTGAACTGGTAATCTTCCAGTTCTTACTGAATATAGATAGGTAAACATGTATACATACGTGTGTGTGTGTGTGTGTGTGTGTGTGTGTATATATATATATATATATATATATATATATATATATATATTCAAATATTTTTAAATAAATCGTCTAAAATTTTATTGCCTAAAGTGTTATTTACTTTATAGAATTTTATTTTATAGAATAAAATAAAGAGCATATAGATTATATAGAATAACAATATAGAATATATAGAATAAAATATAAATAATACTTCAGAACAAAACAACATATAGAACAAAACATATAGACAAAATATACAGACTTTCAGTCAAGTGTTTCACAAAGTGACAATAAAATTAACAACAGACTACCTTAAGTATGCAAATATTTGAAACAAAAAAGGAAAAGGAGAATGTACCAAACAAATGTGTGGATTCAAACAGATTCATGGATTGGGGCTATAGCTCAGTGGCAGAGCACTTGCCTAGCATGTGTGAGGCACTGCGTTCAATCCTTAGCACCACATAAAAATGAAACAAATGAAATAAAGGCATGCTGTTTATCTACAGCTACCAAAAAAAAAAAAAAAAAAATATATATATATATATATATATATATAATTTCACACCAACCAGACAATGTAAATGGAAAAAAGCTTTATAAACTTAATAAATCATGCTTTATAAACTAACATAAGTAAAAAGTTTAAGAATTTATTATGAAAAAATCCTCTCATTTTGTAATGCTTATCATAATAACACATATATAAAATAGTTAATTTCCAGTCAATAGCCAAACGTGGTTTTTAACTCAAAATTGGCTAATCTGCACACTACCTAAAACCAAATACAAAGAGGAGAGAAATATCACTCAAGAAAAGATTTTATTCCATTTCCTCATAATTTCCCAAATCACACACAAAACAATCATCCTAAAGACATTTGCAAGGGCTGAACTTACTTATTTTGTGATTAAATAATAATAAGAAGAAAAATAAATAAATAAACTTGTAAAATAAACACCAATTTAAAATCTGCAAAATTGGTACAACCCAGTTAACTTTTGCATAAAAACACAATAAAATAAGTGGGAACTTACCTACTTCTTCTTCTTCATCATTAGATATTATATTATATAATGTGTCCAAAGCATAACCTATTATTTCAGAATCCGAACTGAAAAAAAGAAATTATTATACACTGCTAGTTAGAGTGTAAACTGTTATGATCATTTTTAGACAGTTTTCAGCAAGACTAAAGGAAACATTAATTCCACTTGTAAAAATATGCTCTAATATTAAAAATATCAGTGTGCAAACTACAAAGAGTGTGCAAACAACTTAAATGTTCAATAACAAAAAATTACCATGGCAGGACTGGGGCTGTAGCTCAGTGGGAGATCACTTGCCTCGCATGCGTGAGGCACTGGGTTCTAACCTCAGCACTACATGGAAATAAATAAAGATATTGTGTCCATCTACAACTTAAAAAAATATTTTAAAAAATACTATGGCAAATCCATACACTTTAAGGTAGCAATGGAAGAACTATATTTTCAAAGAATATTTAATGGCAAAGTAATTAAAACACCCAGATACAATGCCAAGTGAAAAAAAAATTAACCCCAAAATTAACTAATAGAACAATCCCATTTAGTCACACACACACACACACACACACACACACACACACCCCTGTCTCTATATATTTCTAAAAAAATTATCAATTTGTAGCCAGAAATTGAGTGCATGACTATATTTGGGAGGCTAAGGAAGGAAGATTGCAAATTCAAGACTAGCCTGGGCAACTTATCAATAGTCTGTCTCAAAATAAAAAATAAAAAAGAGTTGAGAATATAGCCCAGTGGCAGAGTATCTCTGGGCTCAAATCCCTAGTACCAAAAATATAAAGAGATAAATGAATAAAAAATAAAGATGTAAAATAAATCTAACTTCAAAAGCAACAAAATTAGCACAACTTGGTTAATTTTATGTATGTGTGGATAGCTACATAGCCCTCCGTTTATCACATAGACATATAGTATTATATGTAGTTGGACTACCTTCACCACACTTTATTCTCTTAAGAAAAAAAAAAAACCTTTAGGGTGACTATACAATTTATAAAATGAGGATGTATAACATTTTGTTGTGCTGACAGTCAAATTTTGAAATCATGTAGGATGATGACAGCATTTAGAGTAGTAGCAAGAGTGAAATACAGGTCCCCTCACCACCAAAAACAAAACAAAACAAAAACCTCACAACTATATGTAATGATGAAAGGATGAATGTGTTCCCTCTAAGATCAGGAATATGATAGCAATGTTCCAGCTTACCACCTCTATCTCTTACCATCTCTATCCAACAATGAAATGGAAGTTCAAGTTAGAATACTACACAAGAAAATGAAAAGGTACATAGATTGGAAAGGAAAAGTAAAACTACACCTACTCATAGATGACATATTTTATACATAGAAAATCCTAAGGAATCCACTAAAAAATTGTTAGAACTAATAAATTCAGCAAAGTCACAAGACACAAGGAATATACAAAAATCCACTGAATAATCAGAAAATGAATTTAAGAAAATTGTGTGTAAATAACATCAAGAAGACTGGTACAAATAATAAAATATTTTGAAATAAACTTTACTAAAAATCATAAGACTCATGCACTGAAAAATGCAAAATAGTGTTGGAAAAAAGTGTCCAAGAACTAAATAAATAAAACGATACCCTGTGTTCATAGATAGAAAAAGGCAATATTGTTAATACAGTAATAAACCGCAAATTGATATATAAATTCAACGCAACCCATCGAAACACGAGCTACCATTTTTGCAGAAACTGACAAACTGATAATAAAAGGTCATATGGAAAGGTATTGTATTCAGAATAGCCAAAAAAAAACAAAGATGGAGATCTTGGAAGAACTCTGTGGCCCAGGGTCAGAGGTGAGAGTCTCCAAGTGGGCATCATGAACAGATCTAAAGAAAACTGCATTTCAGGGTCCATTAATGTAAACTGAATAATTTGTAATTGTATTTATAAAACTCATTTGGAGATTGAGCCAGCACCTGGAATTCTTCCCAGCTTTACTTTGGGTTGTAATTTTAGCTCCCTTATATATCCTATATGCCTGCAGCCTGCTGTGTTATGGATGCTTATTTCAGCATTATTTCAGAAGTAACTGACTTTGTATTTGAAGTTTCACACTCTCCATGTATAAAGAGTGCTGATGAACTGGTAATGGGGCTTTGAGGCCTCTCTCTTTCAGCACTAGCCCTTGGTTTATAATGGGCTGTTGAAGCTGGAGAAAATCTTGCCCATTCCCTCAATTTGCTGTGATTAGCCAGGGTCTTAGAGTTACTAAGCCTTTAATACACTACACACAGGCATGTGAATAATACATTTTAGTAATAACTTTTTGAAGAGCTTACATGTTTCTTCTCTGTTAAAGTTCTTTTTGTGCAAGCTCATTTTGCAAGCATTTAGAAAATGAAAAATTGGCAAATAACGGCAATAAGTTTATTGTGGAAAGCCTGACATATACCAAAATTTAGATCTTCTTCACTTAAGTCGTTTTTCTAAACATATGTACTATCAAAATAACTTTAATGGAATTGGGATTTTTATATTAAGCTTTAAAAACAATTTAGGAATATATTTCCAAGGCATTGAGAATTCTTAGAAAATGTTCAATGTCTCCCTCAATGGATGTAAGTTTAGTTAATGAACCTTGTTAAGGTAGTGTGATTTTGTTTTTAGGGTGAGGAACTGGGGTTGGGGCAGGAAGTATTTAAATATCTGTTTCAGCCATTTTCATTCTTCTACAAATGCTCATTAAAATAGCATTTTTTCCCAGCAGCTCCAGAGGCTGAGACAGGGGAATTGTCAAGTTCAAAGTCAGCTTTAGCAACTAAATGAGGCTTGAAGAAAGATAGTAAGATCCTATCTCAAAATAAAGAATAAAAAAAGGGGTAGGTGACTTGGGAGGCTGAGGCAGGATGATCGCAAATTTAAAACCAGCCTCAGCAAAAGTGAGATGCTAAGCAACTCAGTGAGATCCTGTCTCTACATAAAATACAAAATAGGGCTGAGGATGTGGCTCAGTGGTCAAGTGCCCTTGAGTTCAATCCCTGGTACCAAAAAAAAAAAAAAAAAAAAAAA